GAAAGTAGAATGATGGTTACCAAGGGCTATGGTGAGGGGGTATGGAAAATTAGTGTTTAATGGGTATGGAGTTTCCTTTTAGGAAGATGAAAAAGTCCTACAGACAGATGGTAATGATGGTTGCAGAACAATGGAAATGTACTTAAGGCCACTGAACTGTACACTTAAAAATGCTTAAAAAGAAAATCGTATGCATATTTTACCATAATAAAAGGAAAGTTTAAATTTTAAATAAGACTACCAGGCACTCCTCAGATGTAACTATAAAAGCCAAATAATTTTCACTATCTCACTCTAAATTACCAGTGGAAAAATCATGGGACAAATGGTATCCTGGGTGGAGTCCTTCAGTACACTGAAATAAATCTAAGAATAGACCTGTCCCAATTAGGAACCGAACACTAGGAGAAAGACCAGGAATTCTATAAGACACCAGGTTTGGCTGACTGCTTCTAAAAATGGCTCTCAATGACCCTCAACTCCTGCTATTGATCCTTTCCCTTGAGTGTGGGCTGTATCTAGTGACTTACTGCTAATGAACAGAATACAGCAAAAGTGATAGGATGTCACTTCCCAGATAGGTTATAAAAGACTGTGACATCTATCTTGCTCACATTCTCTCTCTCTGGCTCTTTCCACTTACTTGCTCTGATTAAGCAAGCTGCCATATCACCCTATAGAAAGGCCCACATAGCAAAGAATTGAGGCAGCTTCTGCTAGAAGATTACATGATTCTGCTTATAACAGACCAATAGCTAGCAAGGAACTGAGGCTCTCAAACGAACTATAGGAATTGAATCCTGCCAACAACCATCAGAATGAGCTTGGAAACAGATCCCTCCCAAGCTGGGCCTTGTGATGGCCGTAGCATACCTTGATTGCAGCCTATGACTGACCCTGAAACAGAGTATCCACCTGAGTCATACCCAAAATCTTGACCCATAAACATTGTGAGATAATAAATGTTATTGTTTTAAAACACCAAGTTTTGAATAATTTGTTATGCAGCAATAGATAACTATATACCAGGCTTCATTGGTAATAGGGTGATAGTTTCTCAAAGTTATGCACGACCACAGGTTCCTTTTTTGTTCTAGACTATGGATTATACCTGAAAAATTAACAACTTAGCTACAGTACCAATACTGCCAATAATTATTTTAGATTTATTTTTTCAGTAAGACTTATAATAAAAAAAACTTAGTGCAAGAAAACTAGAAATTAAAGAAATTAAAGAAAACAGAAATTAAATAAATTCCTCCTTAGTAATATCCTTAATGACCTAACATAGGAAGTAAATAGCAGGCTAATGAATTCTGACAAAGATGCTAATTCTGGAGGTGTTGCCAAACAAACCAAAAGAAGATCAAAATATGAACAGAACATACTAAATAGAGATTCAATTTGTAAATGCAGAATAACATGTGGTGAAAAGTCATTTGAAAAAATTTGTTGGGTAGAAAAAGACTAAGAAAATAGCCAACAAATTAATAAGTAAACACTGACAATCCCCTAGATTATAAACTCCTTGAAGATGGAGACACACATCATAATCATTATCCTCTGCCATAACCAAGTATTGAGCTTTGCAGTTAATCAATAGATATTTGGCAAAGTTAATTAAAGGGCTCAAAACGAGACATCAAACTGTATGTGTATATATATATACACACACACACACATATATACACATTTTTTTTTTTTGGATGCAGGGTCTTACTCTGTCGCCCAAGCTATAGGGCAGTGGTGCAATCTTGGCTCACTGCAACCTCAGCTTTCCGGGCTCAAGGGATCCTCCCATCTCAGCTTCCCAAGTAGCTGGGACTACAGAAACACATCACCATGCCCGGCTAATTTTTGTATCTTTTGTAGACACAGGATTTCGCCATGTCGGCCAGGCTGGTCTCGAACTCCTGGACTCAAGCGCTATCCGCCCATCTTGGCCTCCTAAAGTGCTGGGAGTACAGGCCTGTGCCACCATACTTGGCCACAAACTGTATGTAACTTAAGTCATATGGATTCACGTATACAAATAGAGTAAAAAAGATAAAGTAGAACAAAAATAAGAGTAAGAGGCACAAAGGGAAGTTTTTTGTCGTTTTGTTTTGAGATAGGGCCTCACTCTGTCACCCAGACTGGAGTACTGTGGCATGATCCCAGCTCATTGCAGCCTTGACCTCCTGGGCTCAGATGATCTTCCCGCCTCAGCCTCCCAGGTAGCTGGAACCACAGGTACACACCTACCTAAATTTTTGGAGAGACAGGGTTTTGCCATGTTGCCCAGGCTGGTCTCGAACTCCTGAATTCAAGAGATCTTCCCAAAGTGCTGGGGTTACAGGCATGAGTCACCATGCCCAGCCAGGAAATATTTTTTAAATTGTATAGGAACTTCAAGAAACATAAGCCAGACCAAACAAGACTTAACGAAAAGAACTCCCTAAAAGAGTATTATCTGAGATATTAACATAACACTACAGTAAGTTTATTGTCTTCTAACTTGAGGAACTCCTCACAAAATAGAGATTAAGACCAGACTACTGCACCTAGATTCAAATTCTGGCTATTGGGCCCATTACTTAACTTCTCTATACCTCAATTTTCTCATCTATTAAAAAAAAAGGGGGTAATGACAGTTGCCAAGCATTAAAAGTTCTAAGATATATGTAAAGTGTTTATTCATCACAGTGCCTAGTTCACTGACTGTGCTCAATAAAATTAGCCGGGTGTGGTGGCTCACACCTATAATCCCAGCACTTTGGGAAGCCAACATGGGCGGATCACCTGAGGTCGGGAGTTCGAGACCAGTCTGACCAACATGGAGAAACCCTGTCTCTTCTAAAAATACAAAATTAGCTGGGCATGGTGGTGCATGCCTGTAATCTCAACTACTAGGGAAGCTGAGGCAGGAGAATTACTTGAACCTGGGAGGTGGAGGTTGTGGTGCTCTGAGATCACACCACTGCCTAGGCAACAAGAGCAAAACTCCGTCTCAAAAAAAAAAAAAAAAAGGTAGTCATTACTTAACTAATTCTGCATGTTTCCTAACCAACAGAAGAGAAATGGTCACATTCACAGACATATTACTGTCCAAAACAGGTCCGGAACCACTTAAATATTAAAGGAAATTATCATTTTTGCACAGAGGCCCAGAATTGAAACTATCATACAAATACTACTTATCAAATTCATATAAAAATATTTTTGTCAGCAAAAGAAAATTACCTTACGAATATTATTACAAATTAAATTCCAGCATTTGCATTGTTATAATTTTACTTTTAAAGTTATTAGTAATAGAAACACCCCTATCTTTCACCATACACAAAAATCAAATCAAAATGGATTAAAGACTTCTTGAATCTAAGAGCTGAAACTATGAAACAACTAGAAGAAAACACTGGGGAAACACTCCAGTACACTGATCTGGGCAAAGATTTCTTGTGTAAAATCTCAAAAGCACAGGCAACCAAGGCAAAAATAGATCATTGGGATTACATCGAACTAAAAAGCTTCTGCACAGCAAAGGAAATAATCAACAAAGTAGACAACCCACAGAATGGGAGAAAATATTTGCAAACAATCCATCTGACAAGGAGTTAACCAGAATATATAAGGAGTACAAACAACTCAATAGCAAAAAAATTAAATAATCTGATTTTTAAATGGGCAAAAGATCTGAATGGACATTTCTCAAAAAAAAAAAGACATATGGGCCAAGAGCAGTGGCTCATGCCTATCATCTCAGCACTCTGGGAGGCCAAAGCAGGAGGATCACTTGAGCCCAGGAGTTTGAGGCCAGCCTGGGCAATACAATGAGACCCCACCTCATTAAAAGAAAAAAAAAAAACACACACAAATGGCCAACAGGTATATGAAAAAATGCTTAATATCACTAATCATCAGAGAAACGTAAATCAAAACCACAATGTGGTATCGTCTCACCCCAGTTAAAATGCCTTATACGAAAAAGGCAGTAACAAATGCTGACAAGGATATGCAGAAAGGGGAACCCTCATGCACTGCTGGTAGGAATGGAAATTAGTACAGCCACTATGGAGGCAGTATGGAGGTTCCCCAAAACAACCAAAACTAGAACTTCCATATTATCCAGCAATTCCACTACTGGGTATACATCCAAAAGAAAGGAAATCAATACAGCAAAGAGGTATCTGTACTCCCATGTTTACTGCAGCACTATTAACAATAGCCAAAATGGAATCAACCTAAGTGTCTATCCGGATGAATGGATAAAGAAAATATGGAATATTATTCGGCCATAAAAAAGAATGAAATGTTCTTATTTGCGGCAACATGGATGCAACTGGAGGCCACTACCTTAAGTGAAATAAGCCAAGTACAGAAAGACAAATGTTATATGTTTTCACTCATATGCCAGAGCTAAAAGAGTGAATCTCATGAAGACAGAGAGCAGATTGGCAGTTTATCAGAAGCTAAAAAGGGGAAGGGGAGGGGGAAGAAAGGGAAAAAAAAGAATATAAATGTATTTATTGTTACTGAACTGTACATATAAAATGGTAAAGATGGTAAATTATATTTGCATGCTTTACCTCAATTTAAAAAAAATTTTGGCTGGGCATGGTGGCTCACAACCATAATTTCAGCACTTTCGGAGGCCAAGGCAGGTGAATCACTTGAGCCCAGGAGTATGAGACCAGCCTGGACAACATGGCAAAACCCTATCACTACAAAAAAAAAAAAATTAGCCTGGCATGGTGGTATGTGCCTGTGGTCCCAACTACTCAGGAGGCTGAGGTGGGAAGATTGCTTGAGCCCAGGAGGCAGAAGTTGTGGTGAGCCAAGATCATGCCACTGTACTCCAGCCTAGATGACAAAGTGAGACCCTGTCTCAAAAAAAACAAACCTTTTAAAATAAAGTTAATATAATTAGTTGATCAAAAAGGAAATAAAAATAAACCAATGCCACTCACTATTTTTAGACTTGCAAAAGTACAGATTAGGACAGGCAAGGTGGCTCACACCTGTAATCCCAGCACTTTGCGAGGTGGAGGTAGGACGACTGCCCCAGAGTTGAAGACCAGCTTAGGCAACATAGTAAGATGCTATCTGTACAAAATTTTAAAAATTAGGTGTAGTGGCATGCATCTATAGTCCTAGCTATTCAGAAAGCTGAAGCAGGAGGATCGCTTGAGCCTAGGAGTTCAAAGTTGCAGTGAGCCATGATTGTGCCACTGCATTCCAGCCTGGGTAACAGAACAAGACCCTGTCTCAAAAAAAAAAAAAAAGTATGGATTAGTTCTCAAATGTGTTTTAACTTGAAGCAAATTTTGAGTACTCACCTATAGAAAAGAGGCATTATCATAGTTAATATCACAGAAGAAAGTATTTAAATTAAAAAGTGAGGACTTTTGTACACCTCTAGTAGGAATATACTTTGTTGTTGCATACTAATCGTCTAGTGTGCATGCTAAGGGAATGTACTTTGAAAATGGTATTGTACTGTATTATAAAAGAAAGCTGAAGATATGCATACCCTGTGACTCAGCAACTCCTTTACTAGGTATATATCCTAGAAATACCTTTTCCCTATGCACACCAGCAAACAGGTACAAGAATGTTCAGTCACATTGTCCATAAATGGTAAAAACTACAAACAACCCAAATATCCAGCAAGAGAAGAATGGATAAATTACAGTATATTCATCCAGTATATACACTCATATAGCAGCTTCTTACTCCTGCCGTAACAAATATGACAAATTTAGTGGCAAAACAACACAAATTTATATTCTAATAGCTCTAGAGGTCAGAAGTCTGGGCTTCTACTGGGCTAAAGCTCTAGGGAGAATTTATTTGCTTACCTTTTCTAGTTTCTAGAACCTACCTGAATTCTGTTTTGTTTTTGTTTTTGTTTTTTTGTTTTGTTTTTTAAGAGACAGGGTCTCACTATGTTCTCCAGGCTAGAGTGCAGTAGCTAGCTATTCACAGGCTCAATTATTACACACTACAGTCTCAAAGTCCTGAGCCCAAGCGATCCTCCTGCCTCGCCTTCCAAATAGTTGGGAATACAAGTGCACCACCAGGCCCAGCTTGCCTGAATTATTTGGTTTACTGCCTCATCCCCCACCTTCAAAGTCAGTAGTATAACATCTTCAAATCTCTCTCTGACCCTTGCTTCCACTGTCACATCTCCTTATCTCTCTCTGACAAAGTATATGCCTCCCTCTAATGAGCACCCCCTTGTGATTACATCGGATCCACCCAGATAATCAAGGAAAATCCTCCTCTTGCAAGAGCCTTAATTTAATCACATCTGCAAAGTCTCTTCTGCCACATAAGTTAACATATTCATGTGTTGGGGATTATGACATGAACATTTTGGGGGGCCATTATTCCACTTACCACAAAACTACACTAAAAAGAAAATGAGGAAAATGTTGCTATACTGAACTATATGAATCTCACAAACAACACTGAAAAAAGTTAAGCAAGACAAAATAATATACACAGTATGAGCCCTTTTACAGATAAAAGTTCAAACATAAGCAAAACTAAACTACATTAAATGGAGATGCAAATATAGATTGTAAGTTTATAAAGAAAAGCAAAAACATTATTATCACAAATATCATAAGAATGGATAGCTCTGGGGTAGAGAAAGTAGGTGAAAGCCAGGCAACTTACACCTGTAGTAATCACAGCTACTAGGGAGGCTGAGGATCACTTGAGCGCAGAAGTTTGAGACTAGCCTAAACAACATAGGGAGATCCCATCTCAACAAAACAAAACAAAAAAGGCAGGTGAGATCAGGAACAGGAGTCTGAGATGCTGGCAATGTTTTATTTATTGAACACTGGCTTTATAATTAATTATTAATTAAACTGCACATATATGTTTTATATACACCATGATTAATATAGCTTATAAAGAACAGTAACAGGCCGGGCGCGGTGGCTCAAGCCTGTAATCCCAGCACTTTGGGAGGCCGAGTCAGGTGGATCACGAGGTCAGGATATCGAGACCATCCTGGCTAACACGGTGAAACTCCGTCTCTACTAAAAAAATACATAAAAAACTAGCCGGGCGAGGTGGCGGGCACCTGTAGTCCCAGCTGCGCAGGAGGCTGAGGCAGGAGAATGGCATAAACCCGGGAGGCGGAGCTTGCAGTGAGCTGAGATCTGGCCACTGCACTCCAGCCTGGGCGACAGAGCAAGACTCCGTCTCAAAAAAAAAAAAAAAAACAGTAACAAATAATAGTTATACAAACCAGAAGCAGAGAAAGCCAGACATATAATAGATTAGGCAACAACAATCTAGCAATGTGAGAGACAGCAGAAGAGTGCCCCATCTACACAATAAAAAAAAGCCAGCTAACCTGGGAGTTGAGCATGAAGTAGAAATATAGGTTTGGAATAAAGAAACAACCTTAGAAGCATGCACACAATTTACATCTTCCTAATAGAGTACACATTCCTTGAGGTCAAGAGCATCTGCGCATTCAATTGTACTCATCTAGCATCTAGCCTAATACCTACCATAGAACCTTTCACCTCCCATACGGCTGAATGAAATTAAATAGTCCTTCGGCAAATAACTGGACAGTTGATTTGAAAATTTAACACACGCTCATTCAATAAACTGTCATGAATACATGGAAGAGAAAAAAGAAGCATAATGCATAGCTTGGCCCTTAATGAGTTAACAATCAGGGGAAGAAAAGTTATTATTTCAAAAAATAATTATTTCCAAAATAATATTTGAATAAGAACACATAATACAAAAACAGCAATTAACAGTAACTATCTGGGTTTAAAAGGCAAAAAAATAGGGACTCGGCACTGTGGCTCATGCCTGTAATCCCAGCACTTTGGGAGGCCGAGGCACACGGATCACGAGGTCAGGAGTTTGAGACCAGCCTGGCCAACATGGTGAAACCCTATCTCTACTAAAAATATAAAAATTAGCCAGGCATGGTGGCAGGTGCCTGTAATCCCAGCTACTCAGGAGGCCGAGACAGGAGAATCGCTTGAACCCAGGAGGTGGAGGATGCAGTGAGCTGAGACTGCACCATTGCACTCCAGTCTAGCTGACAAGAGTGAAACTCCATCCCAAAAAAAAAAAAGGTAAAAAACAGAAAAAGTTAACCTACATCAATTTGTAAAGGCCAAATGCATACAAAAAATTGAACAGGGAGGTTAATACTAGCTAGGATTGTCATACAAAGTTTCTTACAAGAGGTGGATATGATTTGTAGAAGAGGGTCTGGTCAATTGCAAAATAGCCACATATTTCTCCCATTCCTGTACATACATCCCTTTGCAATGTGCCCTTGATACATATCCCATGGAGAGATAGAATTGTGTTGGGCACTGTGGCACATACCTATAATCCCAGCTACTAGAGAGGCTGAGGCAGGAAGATTGCTTGAGCCCAGTAGTTTCAATCCAGCCCGGGCAACATAGCAAGATCTTGTCTCTAACAAAAGAGGTAGATCATTCCTTTGGTTCCTTTCTCCTTCTCTGAAACTGGGGTTGGCCATGTGACTTGTTCTGGCCAATGGGACATTAGCAAACATGACCCAGAATCCAGAAAAGCACTTATACACTGGACTTGCCCTCTTTCGCTACTTTTGGAGCCCAGACTCATAAGAACAAACTCAAGCTAGCCAACTGTCTCATATAAATGAGAACAAACAAGACCAAAAAAAGTACTATTCAGCTAAGCCTAAACTGCCAACCCACAGAAAAGTTAACTCATAAATAATCACTGTTTTAGCATCTAAATTTTGGGGTGCTTTGTTTCAAGGCAAAAGTTAACTAAGGAGGTATGCAAAGGCACAGAAGAGGAAATAAGCATAACATACAAGCGCGTGGGAAAATAAATGATAAGATTAGTCTACATCAGGGGTGTCCAATCTTTTGGCTTCTCTGAGCTACAGTGGAAGAACTGTCTTATACCACACATGAAATAAACTAACACTAACGATAGCTGATGAGTTAAACACACACACACATAAACACACACACTACAAAAGCTCATAATGTCTTAAGAAAGTTTACAAATTTGTGTTGGGCCACATTCAAAGCCGTCCTGGGCTGCATGCGGCCCATGGGCCGCAGGTTGGATAAGCTTGGTCTATGTGAAAAGGGTGCTTATTGGGAGAAAGAATACATAGGCCTGAAAGTAAACTGAGTTCAAACTGCAAAAACCAGGCTAGGAAGAGGATGGATATCATTCTGTTTCGGTCGGCAAGGTGGCACACGGTGGGCCTGAAGGCACCCCTCCAGGAGCAGGAGGATGATATGATGTAAGAGGAAAAAAAGTCCACTTAGAAGACGATTACTATCACTGTTATCTCTCAGGCTAAAGGAATAAACTTCTCCTACATTTAGGAGGGAAACTAGATAATTCACCAAATAGCACAGTTTTATAACTGTTATATAGTTTATATAAGATTCTACTCTTTGGCCAGACCTGGTGGCTCACACTTGTAATCCCAGCACTTTGGGAGGCCAACGTGGGTGGATCACCTGAGGTCAGGAGTTTGAGACCAGCCTGGCCAACATGATGAAACCCCATCTCTACTGAAAATGCAAAAAAAAATTAGCTGGGCATGGTGGCGGGCACCTGTAGTTCCAGCTACTCGGGAGGCTGAGGCAGGAGAATTGCTTGAACCTGGGAGGCGGAGGTTGCAGTGAGCTGAGAACGTGCCATTGCACTCCAGCCTGGGTGACAAGAGCAAAACTCCATCTCAAAAAAAAAAAAAGTATCTAAATTGTTATGTTTTAAAATAAAACAAGATCATGTGTAGAAACAAGTTTACAAAGAGTACACACCTGCTAAATTTTTCAAGGCATCTAATATACTGATAAACAACAGAAATAAGGTGTAAGGGTAGGAAAAGCCCAATGGGATTTTGCTTTTGTTTTTGTTTTTATCCCATAGATCTTAGCAAGAGCTCCTCTGAAGAGTTAGTAAAAAGAAATGAAGATTTGTAAAGAACTCCATTTGCTGATGGCAAAAGAAGAGAAGGTAAGTTTATTCACCACTCATACTTCAACTGTTCTTTATAAACTTTCAGGGGAGGTAAATTATACTTCGGGCAACCTGCAA